TATCCTAGTTGTATAGTCAGGGCCTGCCTTAAAGATCGGGTTGAACAAACCGGCGAACCGTATTTCGTTATAGAGCCTTGCCTTGAAGATGTTATACAGAGAATGAGCGTAACAGAGAATCGGGTCGCAGATAATCGTTCTGAGAGTACAGAGCGTGAGCCGTCATATGGTGAGGCCGATATTTCATCTTCGATATTTCAACAACAAGCACCGATATTCCCATCTACGTCTAAAACCATGGGGAATCGGGTTGCAATATTCAACCGCTTCCATTCGAATCTACCGAGGTTGAACCATTATCTCAACAGCAACAGGCTTCTATATTTCCATCTACATCCGAAATAATACGACAGCAGGCTTCTATATTCCCTATTGCAGCCTCTGACTACAACGTTATCATCATCATTTGAACGAGAAAATACCGAAACTGAAGCAAACCATATTTTGCAAATAGTAGAAGAAATCATATCACAGACTAGTGAAGAAGAGAAGGAGGGATATGAAGAAAAGGAGGGATATGAGGAAAAAGAAGAATTCAAGTCAAGACAATCTTGTAAGTATAATCTATATTATGATTGATTATTTAAATTTTACTATATAGATGAATACATTGTTACTATTATTATTTTTATTGTTGTTATTGTTAGTTATTATCATTCTTATTATTATCGAAAATTAACACGTGTATTTATCATCTTTCCATTTTAGACGAACAGATGAAAGAAGAACTCGAACGGATGCGTGAAGATCGCACATGTAAAGTGTGCATGGACAGTGAAATAGCTATAGTGTTTCTTCCGTGCTCGCATATGGTTACGTGCGTTCCTGTGCTGTATCCCTGAGACAGTGCCCCATCTGTAGAAGAGACATCAAACATGTGTGCAGAGCTATTGTATCCTAATAATATTCACATATAACGTGATACTCAGACACATATACACACGTAATAATATATACGCGATAACGTGTATATAAACTCTTAGCAATAAATAACAACGATGATTATATACAAGATAATAAATATTATTACCTGACAGTGAGAGAAGGCGGAAAGATATACTATTCGTCTATGGTGAGAACACTAAGTTTAAAAAAAAATATCACGATAAACGTGAATATAATTTTAATAACAACGATGACTATATGAGACAACGAAAAACATTACCTGACAATGAGAGAATATGGAAAGATATACTATTCATCAATGGTGGGATTACTGAACGCACTGACAGAAGCCGGTTATCCGATATCGACACATGATCTTTCTGACAGAGACGGCATTAAATCGTCGTACAGAGACGATGGCGTAATAATAACCCATGCGTCTGAAGAAGCTCTCTGTTTAACGTTATACTGCGCACTGGGATTATTGATGGAAAAGGGAATAACCGTAAATCTGAAGAGATCTAATGCTGCAGAATATCTGTTACATTTCCCTACAGTGAAAGTCGAAGTCAGACCAAATTGTGAAACCAATACCATCGTGAGAGGGAGAATACAAAGAAACGACGATCGCGTCGCTATTGGCGATGAACCTTTAAATACTAGCGACATCTATAACGGCGGAAAGGCGTATGTGTATCAAAGTAGAGCGCTATATTCTCACAGCAGCGGTCATTTGAAAACTGTTATCATCGAAAGTAAAGGACGAGGACAATCAGCGAACGATACTCTTTCAACTGTTTATATGTAGATTCCTATGACAGAAGTCGGTTACCTGATATCATTGAGGACATTGCGAAATATCCTTTGAAGTTTTTCAGAGCTATAATACTGAGAGGTAAGCTACTCTAATTACAATAATGTATGACTATATTGATTATAAGCTCCTGTTTTTTGGTGAAGATGTCATTCACCGCATACAGCAGATACGGAGACAAGCGTTCTTTGTCACTAACGGTATAAGAAAAGTACAGGAACATGACAATTTGCTATTTTCAAAAAAGAAGATATATACCGTGAACAATGTCATGGAACTAGCATCGTGTACTGCAAGTGACGATGATGCTGATGCTGATACAAACAATCCTATACACACATACACAATTAGTGCTTTAACGTACGGTATTTTGAACGAAGGCTGGAGTGAATCTACCATGAGGCGTATAGAGAACGAATTGGTAGAAAGGTGTCTTATTCACAAATATATTACGGAGGAAGAATATAAATGCCACAGGAAAAATCACAACGATAGTGACAACGATAAGAGTAAGAATTATAGTATTCCATATATAATAGATTTCTTGTGGAATATGTGTTATTTTAATAAATTGTATCGCGACAGACATCTGAAAAAATATACGACATTAAAGCTGATTGAAAGGAGTACATTATCGATGTCCAGAAACGCCTTGATTAAACATGATTTATCCTTTTTTCACTTACCGACCGCAGCCGGAATTGCGATCTATGAGTACCTCACAGACAGAGATACAAATTTAAGATTAGTAAAAGAAGCAGCAAGGATGCTAGTAGCTGAAGAAAAATATCTTCGATATTCAAGAAATATAAGAAATACCATAGAAGATGATACAACAAACAAGAGAAGAATATTTCGTCTGATTTATGCTAGCAAGAGAAGTAAAACGAGTTGTGCACTACTGTTATGCAAATCTGCATCTAAAATCGATCACTCTAAGAAGAATACAAAGAGTAAATTGTTCAACCTACAGTGGTTATTCAATGTAACCGACATACAAGACCAAAAGTTCAAGAAGTGTCTGGGTGTCGTATATGATAGCGTAGATGTAGGCGATATGCTACCCAATACTAGTCTGAGTCAGAAGAGCAAACCACTCGACTGGTACTATCGAAATATGAACACCGATACTGTCCCCTTCGATCAACATAACGGGTATCCAGAGTTTAGGCGATATCACCGTGAGGAAGAAAATGAAGAGAAAGAACACATATACCATAATATCAATGAAGAGAACACTTACGTTATAATGGATAAAAATACAAATACTAATAATCGTGTGACACCAACTACATTGTCAGATACCAACGTTAACAATGTACAGATATACAGTGAGATGCAAACAGATACAGGCTATAAAGAAAAAAATGGATACTATAAGGAAAAGAAAAATAATAATAACAATAACGGTATTATTAATAACAGCAACAACCACAATACACCAAAGAAACAACACCTGTCATAGTTCCAAATGATGTAAAATATGACGTTCCCCGAAATATATGTCAAGGTGTATTTGAAATTGACAAGTCGATGAAGCATTATAACACTTTACCCGATGATAAGAAAAAGAATAGAATTCACAGGACGGAGACGGTTACGCCAATAGTACCTTCGTCATCGATGATGTCGTCATCCGTCTCTGTCTACGACATACCCAAAAAGGCAACAACAAGCATCTATAACTGCAAGAGCTTAATGATTCGATGCCGTAAATGTCAAAAATACAACATATCGCCGTGTGTCGTAAAGTGCAATGGATGTCCATGTTAGCGCAGTACCAGCGGGCACGGAGGAAAAGAAATGTGTTGCACGATGAGGTAAATAGATTCACATCTTTCTATCTGTACATATCGATCTCTCAGTTGCCCACTCACTGCCGATCCAACCCAGCCGATAAAAAGTAGCATCATGAATAGCTACAGCGTTAAATGTAAAAGTTTGAGATACGAATCAGAACGATTGTTAACGTTCATTAATTGGCCCTTTGGGAGTTTAGCGAAATACCAGCTTTTAAGGTGTGTCCTCTTTTAAAATATGTCCACTTTTAAGACATGTCCAGCTTTTAAGGTGTGTCCTCTTTAAAATATGTCCACTTTTAAGACATGTCCAGCTTTTAAGGTGTGTCCTCTTTTAAAATATGTAAAATCACATTATAGTATATCAGAATTTGTCTGTTGCCCCATCGAAACGATAAATTGATCACGATCCTTGAATCTACAGCAATACATATTCTATTCTTACGATTCGTCTTTATTGAGTCGTGTTTATCATAATCACGGAAAGTAGCCGTTTAAACTTACTTTGAGAGTTGGATATGTCTGAAAAAATGGACATGTTTCAAAATATGGACGTTTTAAAATATGGACATGTCTTAAAAGCTGGACATGTCTTAAAAGTGGACATATTTTAAAAGAGGACACACCTTAAAAGCTGGACATGTCTTAAAAGTGGACATATTTTAAAAGAGGACACACCTTAAAAGCTGGACATGTCTTAAAAGTGGACATATTTTAAAAGAGGACACACCTTAAAAGCTGGACATGTCTTAAAAGTGGACATATTTTAAAAGAGGACACACCTTAAAAGCTGGACATGTCTTAAAAGTGGACATATTTTAAATGAGGACACACCTTAAAGCTGGACATGTCTTAAAAGTGGACATATTTTAAAAGAGGACACACCTTAAAAGCTGGACATGCTTTAAAAGTGGACACACCTTATAACTGACATGCTTAAAAGTGGACACACCTTATAAACTGGACATGTTTAAAACTGGACATGTCTTAAAAGTGGACATATTTTAAAAGAGGACACACCTTAAAAACTGGACATGTCTTAAAAGTGGACACATCTAAGGTGTATCCTCTTTTAAAATATGTCCACTTTTAAAACATGTCCCAGTTTTAAGACATGTCCAGTTTATAAGGTGTGTCCACTTTTAAGACATGTCCAGTTTGTAAGGTGTGTCCACTTTTAAAACATGTCCACTTTTAAGACATGTCCAGTTTTTAAGATGTGTCCACTTTTAAAACATGTCCAGTTTTAAAGTGCGTCCTCTTTTAAAAGTGGACACATCTTAAAAACTGGAATACGTATTTAGAAACATGGCCTAGCTATATAAACACCGACTGATAATATAAAGTTAGACTCGACTCGACTCTCTCCTCCTCCTCCGGTTCCTGTACTTTTAAGTGTAGTGTAAGTAATTTTTTTTAAATCGGAAGATCGGGAGAATATCTCTAATTCGTCCATAAGAAATGTTTTCATAGCCAGTGCCAGATCAATGTAACCGAAGACGATGGATATATCACATCCTAACAGTTTTCTGCAGCAGGAAGAGTATCGGTTAACCACGTTCAGCGAACATGAGATATCTCCCATCGATACCACTATAGTATACAGGGACATGCCGTTTGTCGGCTACGATTGTCTGAGATACGAAGAAAAGCGATTAGGAACCTTCATCGACTGGCCTCATGAATGGCTGAAACCGTCAGAATTGGCGGCCGACGGATTTTATTATCTCAGGAAAGATGATCACTGTGCGTGTATCTTCTGCAGAGGGATAGTTGGAACCTGGGAAAAAACTGACACGCCAAGAGGAGAACATCAACGCCATTTTCCCCAATGTCCCTTTATTAGGGGTCAGCCAACTGGAAATGTTCCCATTGTTCAAGGCAATATCTTAGCCAGGTTACCGGTACTACATCCGAGTCTGGACGATTGCGGATCAAGACGTGTTGAGGCCGACGCTTGCAGATTTCGTCAAGACTATGGCCGGATCGTATCCCGAATGCAGTGAGTAGTTTGGTATCTTTTATCGCTGATTAGTATTTATGAACACTGTATATAACTCTTTACCCGTGAGCTCAATCCAGATTTATTCCTGCTATCGCTTCGTCTCACAGGAGGATCTCCGGATGAAACTGGTCTCTACCAGCATTCTAGACCGAAACGAAGTGATTTCACGACACTAGATAGCCGATTGAAGAGCTATGTCGAAGGATGGCCCATCCTCGGTCTGCATGCACAAGATCTTGCCGAAGCTGGATTTTTCTACTGTGGTACAACGTTTTTTTATATATATATGTATATATATGCGTTTACGTGTATCGGTAATAGTAGATTCATTACAGGTGTTAAATATTGATAACAGCATCAGCTTATTAAGATCTCTGGAATTGATTGCGTTTTCTCTATCAAAAGAAGCATTAAATACTTTTGCAAAAGAAACACAGTTACCGTTATTATATACATAGGTCTGAGTGATCATGTTCGCTGTTTCCACTGCGGTAAGGGTCTTCGCAATTGGATATCTAGCGACATACCTTGGAAGGAACACGCTAGATGGTATCCTAAATGCAGATTTGTCTTATTGAAGAAAGGCCAGGACTATATCAATGAAGTATGTATACGCCTCTTAATTGTATCTTATTTTGCTGGATATTTTTATTAATTGTTGTTTTATTATCGTTATTATTAGATTACTATTACTATGATGTTAACACTGTTATAATTTCTTTTAGGTCCAGCGAGAATATTCACCGTACACACCGCACAGCGAGTACTGTATATTCGGGTATCGATAAGGCTGCTTCCGGTAGCAGTAATAATCCAACGGAGGTGCAATCCGTATCCGAACAAGAATTGGATCTGTTGATGAGTTTGGATGTCGTCAAGTGTGTACTGGAAATGGGATATCCTAGTTGTATAGTCAGGGCCTGCCTTAAAGATCGGGTTGAACAAACCGGCGAACCGTATTTCGTTATAGAGCCTTGCCTTGAAGATGTTATACAGAGAATGAGCGTAACAGAGAATCGGGTCGCAGATAATCGTTCTGAGAGTACAGAGCGTGAGCCGTCATATGGTGAGGCCGATATTTCATCTTCCGATATTTCAACAACAAGCACCGATATTCCCATCTACGTCTAAAACCATGGGGAATCGGGTTGCAAATATTCAACCGCTTCCATTCGAATCTACCGAGGTTTGAACCATTATCTCAACAGCAACAGGCTTCTATATTTCCATCTACATCCGAAATAATACGACAGCAGGCTTCTATATTCCCTATTGCACCTCTGACTACAACGTTATCATCATCATTTGAACGAGAAAATACCGAAACTGAAGCAAACCATATTTTGCAAATAGTAGAAGAAATCATATCACAGACTAGTGAAGAAGAGAAGGAGGGATATGAAGAAAAGGAGGGATATGAGGAAAAAGAAGAATTCAAGTCAAGACAATCTTGTAAGTATAATCTATATTATGATTGATTATTTAAATTTTACTATTATAGATGATACATTGTTACTATTATTATTTTTATTGTTGTTATTGTTAGTTATTATCATTCTTATTATTATCGAAAATTAACACGTGTATTTATCATCTTTCCATTTTAGACGAACAGATGAAAGAAGAACTCGAACGGATGCGTGAAGATCGCACATGTAAAGTGTGCATGGACAGTGAAATAGCTATAGTGTTTCTTCCGTGCTCGCATATGGTTACGTGCGTTTCCTGTGCTGTATCCCTGAGACAGTGCCCCATCTGTAGAAGAGACATCAAACATGTGTGCAGAGCTATTGTATCCTAATAATATTCACATATAACGTGATACTCAGACACATATACACACGTAATAATATATACGCGATAAACGTGTATATAAACTCTTAGCAATAAATAACAACGATGATTATATACAAGATAATAAATATTATTACCTGACAGTGAGAGAAGGCGGAAAGATATACTATTCGTCTATGGTGAGAACACTAAGTTAAAAAAAATATCACGATAAACGTGAATATAATTTTAATAACAACGATGACTATATGAGACAACGAAAAACATTACCTGACAATGAGAGAATATGGAAAGATATACTATTCATCAATGGTGGGATTACTGAACGCACTGACAGAAGCCGGTTATCCGATATCGACACATGATCTTTCTGACAGAGACGGCATTAAATCGTCGTACAGAGACGATGGCGTAATAATAACCCATGCGTCTGAAGAAGCTCTCTGTTTAACGTTATACTGCGCACTGGGATTATTGATGGAAAAGGGAATAACCGTAATCTGAAGAGATCTAATGCTGCAGAATATCTGTTACATTTCCCTACAGTGAAAGTCGAAGTCAGACCAAATTGTGAAACCAATACCATCGTGAGAGGGAGAATACAAAGAAACGACGATCGCGTCGCTATTGGCGATGAACCTTTAAATACTAGCGACATCTATAACGGCGGAAAGGCGTATGTGTATCAAAGTAGAGCGCTATATTCTCACAGCAGCGGTCATTTGAAAACTGTTATCATCGAAAGTAAAGGACGAGGACAATCAGCGAACGATACTCTTTCAACTGTTTATATATGTAGATTCCTATGACAGAAGTCGGTTACCTGATATCATTGAGGACATTGCGAAATATCCTTTGAAGTTTTTCAGAGCTATAATACTGAGAGGTAAGCTACTCTAATTACAATAATGTATGACTATATTGATTATAAGCTCCTGTTTTTTGGTGAAGATGTCATTCACCGCATACAGCAGATACGGAGACAAGCGTTCTTTGTCACTAACGGTATAAGAAAAGTACAGGAACATGACAATTTGCTATTTCAAAAAAAGAAGATATATACCGTGAACATGTCATGGAACTAGCATCGTGTACTGCAAGTGACGATGATGCTGATGCTGATACAAACAATCCTATACACACATACACAATTAGTGCTTTAACGTACGGTATTTTGAACGAAGGCTGGAGTGAATCTACCATGAGGCGTATAGAGAACGAATTGGTAGAAAGGTGTCTTATTCACAAATATATTACGGAGGAAGAATATAAATGCCACAGGAAAAATCACAACGATAGTGACAACGATAAGAGTAAGAATTATAGTATTCCATATATAATAGATTTCTTGTGGAATATGTGTTATTTTAATAATTGTATCGCGCAGACATCTGAAAAAATATACGACATTAAAGCTGATTGAAAGGAGTACATTATCGATGTCCAGAAACGCCTTGATTAAACATGATTTATCCTTTTTTCACTTACCGACCGCAGCCGAATTGCGATCTATGAGTACCTCACAGACAGAGATACAAATTTAAGATTAGTAAAAGAAGCAGCAAGGATGCTAGTAGCTGAAGAAAAATATCTGCGATATTCAAGAAATATAAGAAATACCATAGAAGATGATACAACAAACAAGAAGAAGAATATTCGTCTGATTTATGCTAGCAAGAGAAGTAAAACGAGTTGTGCACTACTGTTATGCAAATCTGCATCTAAATCGATCACTCTAAGAAGAATACAAAGAGTAAATTGTTCAACCTACAGTGGTTATTCAATGTAACCGACATACAAGACCAAAAGTTCAAGAAGTGTCTGGGTGTCGTATATGATAGCGTAGATGTAGGCGATATGCTACCCAATACTAGTCTGAGTCAGAAGAGCAAACCACTCGACTGGTACTATCGAAATATGAACACCGATACTGTCCCCTTCGATCAACATAACGTGTATCCAGAGTTTAGGCGATATCACCGTGAGGAAGAAAATGAAGAGAAAGAACACATATACCATAATATCAATGAAGAGAACACTTACGTTATAATGGATAAAAATACAAATACTAATAATCGTGTGACACCAACTACATTGTCAGATACCAACGTTAACAATGTACAGATATACAGTGAGATGCAAACAGATACAGGCTATAAAGAAAAAAATGGATACTATAAGGAAAAGAAAAATAATAATAACAATAACGGTATTATTAATAACAGCAAACAACCACAATACACCAAAAGAAACAACACCTGTCATAGTTCCAAATGATGTAAAATATGACGTTCCCCGAAATATATGTCAAGGTGTATTTGAAATTGACAAGTCGATGAAGCATTATAACACTTACCCGATGATAAGAAAAAGAATAGAATTCACAGGACGGAGACGGTTACGCCAATAGTACCTTCGTCATCGATGATGTCGTCATCCGTCTCTGTCTACGACATACCCAAAAAGGCAACACAAGCATCTATAACTGCAAGAGCTTAATGATTCGATGCCGTAAATGTCAAAAATACAACATATCGCCGTGTGTCGTAAAGTGCAATGGATGTCCATGTTAGCGCAGTACCAGCGGGCACGGAAGGAAAAGAAATGTGTTGCACGATGAGGTAAATAGATTCACATCTTTCGATCTGTACATATATATCGAGCTCTCAGTTCCCCCTCCTGCCGATCCAACCCAGCCGATAAAAAGTAGCATCATGAATAGCGTAACATCGGAGCGTTTTCCTGTAAGAGTTTGAGATACGAAATCAGAAACGAATTGGTTAACGTTCATTAATTGGCCCTTTGGGAGTTTAGCGAAATACCAGCTTTAAGGTGTGTCCTCTTTGAAAATATGTCCACTTTTAAGACATGTCCAGCTTTTAAGGTGTGTCCTCTTTTAAAATATGTCCACTTTTAAGACATGTCCAGCTTTTAAGGTGTGTCCTCTTTTAAACTATGTAAAATCACATTATAGTATATCAGAATTTGTCTGTTGCCCCATCGAAACGATAAATTGATCACGATCCTTGAATCTACAGCAATACATATTCTATTCTTACGATTCGTCTTTATTGAGTCGTGTTTATCATAATCACGGAAAGTAGCCGTTTAAACTTACTTTGAGAGTTGGATATGTCTGAAAAAATGGACATGTTTCAAAATATGGACGTTTTAAAATATGGACATGTCTTAAAAGCTGGACATGTCTTAAAAGTGGACATATTTTAAAAGAGGACACACCTTAAAAGCTGGACATGTCTTAAAAGTGGACATATTTTAAAAGAGGACACACCTTAAAAGCTGGACATGTCTTAAAAGTGGACATATTTTAAAAGAGGACACACCTTAAAAGCTGGACATGTCTTAAAAGTGGACATATTTTAAAAGAGGACACACCATAAAAGCTGGACATGTCTTAAAAGTGGACATATTTTAAATGAGGACACACCTTAAAAGCTGGACATGTCTTAAAAGTGGACATATTTTAAAAGAGGACACACCTTAAAAGCTGGACATGCTTTAAAAGTGGACACACCTTATAAACTGGACATGCTTTAAAAGTGGACACACCTTATAAACTGGACATGTTTTAAAACTGGACATGTCTTAAAAGTGGACATATTTTAAAAGAGGACACACCTTAAAAACTGGACATGTCTTAAAAGTGGACACATCTAAGGTGTATCCTCTTTTAAAATATGTCCACTTTTAAAACATGTCCAGTTTTAAGACATGTCCAGTTTTAAGACATGTCCAGTTTATAAGGTGTGTCCACTTTTAAGACATGTCCAGTTTGTAAGGTGTGTCCACTTTTAAAACATGTCCACTTTAAGACATGTCCAGTTTTAAGATGTGTCCACTTTTAAAACATGTCCAGTTTTTAAAGTGCGTCCTCTTTTAAAAGTGGACACATCTTAAAAACTGGAATACGTATTTAGAAACATGGCCTAGCTATATAAACACCGACTGATAATATAAAGTTAGACTCGACTCGACTCTCTCCTCCTCCTCCGGTTCCTGTACTTTTAAGTGTAGTGTAAGTAATTTTTTTTAAATCGGAAGATCGGGAGAATATCTCTAATTCGTCCATAAGAAATGTTTTCATAGCCAGTGCCAGATCAATGTAACCGAAGACGATGGATATATCACATCCTAACAGTTTTCTGCAGCAGGAAGAGTATCGGTTAACCACGTTCAGCGAACATGAGATATCTCCCATCGATACCACTATAGTATACAGGGACATGCCGTTTGTCGGCTACGATTGTCTGAGATACGAAGAAAAGCGATTAGGAACCTTCATCGACTGGCCTCATGAATGGCTGAAACCGTCAGAATTGGCGGCCGACGGATTTTATTATCTCAGGAAAGATGATCACTGTGCGTGTATCTTCTGCAGAGGGATAGTTGGAACCTGGGAAAAAACTGGCACGCCAAGAGGAGAACATCAACGCCATTTTCCCAATGTCCCTTATTAGGGGTCAGCCAACTGGAAATGTTCCCATTGTTCAAGGCAATATCTTAGCCAGGTTACCGGTACTACATCCGAGTCTGGACGATTGCGGATCAAGACGTGTTGAGGGCCGACGCTTGCAGATTTTCGTCAAGACATATGGCCGGATCGTATCCCGAATGCAGTGAGTAGTTTGGTATCTTTTATCGCTGATTAGTATTTATGAACACTGTATATAACTCTTTACCCGTGAGCTCAATCCAGATTTATTCCCTGCTATCGCTTCGTCTCACAGGAGGATCTCCGGATGAAACTGGTCTCTACCAGCATTCTAGACCGAAACGAAGTGATTTCACGACACTAGATAGCCGATTGAAGAGCTATGTCGAAGGATGGCCCATCCTCGGTCTGCATGCACAAGATCTTGCCGAAGCTGGATTTTTCTACTGTGGTATAACGTTTTATATATATATATATATATATATGCGTTTACGTGTATCGGTAATAGTAGATTCATTACAGGTGTTAAATATTGATAACAGCATCAGCTTATTAAGATCTCTGGATTGAGTGCGTTTTCTCTATCAAAAGAAGCATTAAATACTTTTGGCAAAAGAAACACAGTTACCGTTATTATATACATAGGTCTGAGTGATCATGTTCGCTGTTTCCACTGCGGTAAGGGTCTTCGCAATTGGATATCTAGCGACATACCTTGGAAGGAACACGCTAGATGGTATCCTAAATGCAGATTTGTCTTATTGAAGAAAGGCCAGGACTATATCAATGAAGTATGTATACGCCTCTTAATTGTATCTTATTTTGCTGGATATTTTATTAATTGTTGTTTTATTATCGTTATTATTAGATTACTATTACTATGATGTTAACACTGTTATAATTTCTTTTAGGTCCAGCGAGAATATTCACCGTACACCCGCACAGCGAGTACTGTATTCGGGTATCGATAAGGCTGCTTCCGGTAGCAGTAATAATCCAACGGAGGTGCAATCCGTATCCGAACAAGAATTGGATCTGTTGATGAGTTTGGATGTCGTCAAGTGTGTACTGGAAATGGGATATCCTAGTTGTATAGTCAGGGCCTGCCTTAAAGATCGGGTTGAACAAACCGGCGAACCGTATTTCGTTATAGAGCCTTGCCTTGAAGATGTTATACAGAGAATGAGCGTAACAGAGAATCGGGTCGCAGATAATCGTTCTGAGAGTACAGAGCGTGAGCCGTCATATGGTGAGGCCGATATTTCATCTTCGATATTTCACAACAAGCACCGATATTCCCATCTACGTCTAAAACCATGGGGAATCGGGTTGCAAATATTCAACCGCTTCCATTCGAATCTACCGAGGTTGAACCATTATCTCAACAGCAACAGGCTTCTATATTTCCATCTACATCCGAAATAATACGACAGCAGGCTTCTATATTCCCTATTGCACCTCTGACTACAACGTTATCATCATCATTTGAACGAGAAAAATACCGAAACTGAAGCAAACCATATTTTGCAAATAGTAGAAGAAATCATATCACAGACTAGTGAAGAAGAGAAGGAGGGATATGAAGAAAAGGAGGGATATGAGGAAAAAGAAGAATTCAGTCAAGACAATCTTGTAAGTATAATCTATATTATGATTGATTATTTAAATTTTACTATTATAGATGAATACATTGTTACTATTATTATTTTTATTGTTGTTATTGTTAGTTATTATCATTCTTATTATTATCGAAAATTAACACGTGTATTTATCATCTTTCCATTTTAGACGAACAGATGAAAGAAGAACTCGAACGGATGCGTGAAGATCGCACATGTAAAGTGTGCATGGACAGTGGAAATAGCTATAGTGTTTCTTCCGTGCTCGCATATGGTTACGTGCGTTTCCTGTGCTGTATCCCTGAGACAGTGCCCCATCTGTAGAAGAGACATCAAACATGTGTGCAGAGCTATTGTATCCTAATAATATTCACATATAACGTGATACTCAGACACATATACACACGTAATAATATATACGCGATAAACGTGTATATAAACTCTTAGCAATAAATAACAACGATGATTATATACAAGATAATAAATATTATTACCTGACAGTGAGAGAAGGCGGAAAGATATACTATTCGTCTATGTGAGAACACTAAGTTTAAAAAAAAATATCACGATAAACGTGAATATAATTTTAATAACAACGATGACTATATGAGACAACGAAAAACATTACCTGACAATGAGAGAATATGGAAAGATATACTATTCATCAATGGTGGGATTACTGAACGCACTGACAGAAGCCGGTTATCCGATATCGACACATGATCTTTCTGACAGAGACGGCATTAAATCGTCGTACAGAGACGATGGCGTAATAATAACCCATGCGTCTGAAGAAGCTCTCTGTTTAACGTTATACTGCGCACTGGGATTATTGATGGAAAAGGGAATAACCGTAAATCTGAAGAGATCTAATGCTGCAGAATATCTGTTACATTTCCCTACAGTGAAAGTCGAAGTCAGACCAAATTGTGAAACCAATACCATCGTGAGAGGGAGAATACAAAGAAACGACGATCGCGTCGCTATTGGCGATGAACCTTTAAATACTAGCGACATCTATAACGGCGGAAAGGCGTATGTGTATCAAAGTAGAGCGCTATATTCTCACAGCAGCGGTCATTTGAAAACTGTTATCATCGAAAGTAAAGGACGAGGACAATCAGCGAACGATACTCTTTCAACTGTTTTATATGTAGATTCCTATGACAGAAGTCGGTTACCTGATATCATTGAGGACATTGCGAAATATCCTTTGAAAGTTTTTCAGAGCTATAATACTGAGAGGTAAGCTACTCTAATTACAATAATGTATGACTATATTGATTATAAGCTCCTGTTTTTTGGTGAAGATGTCATTCACCGCATACAGCAGATACGGAGACAAGCGTTCTTTGTCACTAACGGTATAAGAAAAGTACAGGAACATGACAATTTGCTATTTCAAAAAAAGAAGATATATACCGTGAACAATGTCATGGAACTAGCATCGTGTAACTGCAAGTGACGATGATGCTGATGCTGATACAAACAATCCTATACACACATACACAATTAGTGCTTTAACGTACGGTATTTTGAACGAAGGCTGGAGTGAATCTACCATGAGGCGTATAGAGAACGAATTGGTAGAAAGGTGTCTTATTCACAAATATATTACGGAGGAAGAATATAAATGCCACAGGAAAAATCACAACGATAGTGACAACGATAAGAGTAAGAATTATAGTATTCCATATATAATAGATTTCTTGTGGAATATGTGTTATTTTAATAAATTGTATCGCGACAGACATCTGAAAAAATATACGACATTAAAGCTGATTGAAAGGAGTACATTATCGATGTCCAGAAACGCCTTGATTAAACATGATTTATCCTTTTTTCACTTACCGACCGCAGCCGGAATTGCGATCTATGAGTACCTCACAGACAGAGATACAAATTTAAGATTAGTAAAAGAAGCAGCAAGGATGCTAGTAGCTGAAGAAAAATATCTTCGATATTCAAGAAATATAAGAAATACCATAGAAGATGATACAACAAACAAGAAGAAGATATTCGTCTGATTTATGCTAGCAAGAGAAGTAAAACGAGTTGTGCACTACTGTTATGCAAATCTGCATCTAAAATCGATCACTCTAAGAAGAATACAAAGAGTAAATTGTTCAACCTACAGTGGTTATTCAATGTAACCGACATACAAGACCAAAAGTTCAAGAAGTGTCTGGGTGTCGTATATGATAGCGTAGATGTAGGCGATATGCTACCCAATACTAGTCTGAGTCAGAAGAGGCAAACCACTCGACTGGTACTATCGAAATATGAACACCGATACTGTCCCCTTCGATCAACATAACGGTATCCAGAGTTTAGGCGATATCACCGTGAGGAAGAAAATGAAGAGAAAGAACACATATACCATAATATCAATGAAGAGAACACTTACGTTATAATGGATAAAAATACAAATACTAATAATCGTGTGACACCAACTACATTGTCAGATACCAACGTTAACAATGTACAGATATACAGTGAGATGCAAACAGATACAGGCTATAAAGAAAAAAATGGATACTATAAGGAAAAGAAAAATAATAATAACAATAACGGTATTATTAATAACAGCAACAACCACAATACACCAAAAGAAACAACACCTGTCATAGTTCGCAAATGATGTAAAATATGACGTTTCCCCGAAATATATGTCAAGGTGTATTTGAAATTGACAAGTCGATGAAGCATTATACACTTTACCCGATGATAAGAAAAAGAATAGAATTCACAGGACGGAGACGGTTACGCCAATAGTACCTTCGTCATCGATGATGTCGTCATCCGTCTCTGTCTACGACATACCCAAAAAGGCAACAACAAGCATCTATAACTGCAAGAGCTTAATGATTCGATGCCGTAAATGTCAAAAATACAACATATCGCCGTGTGTCGTAAAGTGCAATGGATGTCCATGTTAGCGCAGTACAGCGGGCACGGAGGAAAAAGAAATGTGTTGCACGATGAGGTAAATAGATTCACATCTTTCTATCTGTACATATCGATCTCTCAGTTGCCCACTCACTGCCGATCCAACCCAGCCGATAAAAAGTAGCATCATGAATAGCTACAGCGTTAAATGTAAAAGTTTGAGATACGAATCAGAACGATTGTTAACGTTCATTAATTGGCCCTTTGGGAGTTTTAGCGAAATACCAGCTTTTAAGGTGTGTCCTCTTTTAAAATATGTCCACTTTTAAGACATGTCCAGCTTTTAAGGTGTGTCCTCTTTTAAAATATGTCCACTTTTAAGACATGTCCAGCTTTTAAGGTGTGTCCTCTTTTAAAATATGTAAAATCACATTATAGTATATCAGAATTTGTCTGTTGCCCCATCGAACGATAAATTGATCACGATCCTTGAATCTACAGCAATACATATTCTATTCTACGATTCGTCTTTATTGAGTCGTGTTTATCATAATCACGGAAAGTAGCCGTTTAAACTTACTTTGAGAGTTGGATATGTCTGAAAAAATGGACATGTTTCAAAATATGGACGTTTTAAAAATATGGACATGTCTTAAAAGCTGGACATGTCTTAAAAGTGGACATATTTTAAAAGAGGACACACCTTAACAGCTGACATGTCTTAAAAGTGACATATTTTAAAAGAGGACACACTAAAAAGCTGGACATTCCTTAGAAAGTGGACATAATTATTTAAAAGAGGACACACCTTAAAAGCTGGACAAGTCATAACAGTGGGACCATATTTTACAAGAGGACACCATTAAAGCTGGACATGTCCTAAAGTGGACATATTATAAATGAGGACACACCTTAAAAGCTGACATGTCTTAAAAGTGGACATATTTTAAAAGAGGACACATCCTATAAAAGCTGGACATGCCTTTAAAAGTGGACACACACTTATAAACTGGACAGGCATTAAAAGTGGAACACACCTTAAAAACTGGACATGTTTTCAAACTGGACATGGTCTTAAAAGTGGACATATTTTAAAAGAGGACAAACCTTAAAAACTGGACATGTCATAAAAGTGGACACATCTAAGGCGTATCCTCTTTTAAAATATGTCCCCCTTTAAAACATGTCCAGTTTTAAGACATTCAGTTTTAAGACATGTCCAGTTTATACGGTTGTCCACTTTTAAGACAGTCGCAGTTTTTGTAAGGTGTGCCACTTTTAAAACATGTCCACTTTTAAGACATGTCCAGTTTTAAGATGTGTCCCACTTTTAAAACATGTCCAGTTTTTAAAGTGCGTCCTCTTTAAAAGTGGACACATCTTAAAAACTGGAATACGTATTTAGAAACATGGCCTAGCTATATAAACACCGACTGATAATATAAAGTTAGACTCGACTCGACTCTCTCCTCCTCCTCCGGTTCCTGTACTTTAAGTGTAGTGTAAGTAATTTTTTTTTAATCGGAAGATCGGAGAATATCTCTAATTCGTCCATAAGAAATGTTTTCATAGCCAGTGCCAGATCAATGTAACCGAAGACGATGGATATATCACATCCTAACAGTTTTCTGCAGCAGGAAGAGTATCGGTTAACCACGTTCAGCGAACATGAGATATCTCCCATCGATACCACTATAGTATACAGGGACATGCCGTTTGTCGGCTACGATTGTCTGAGATACGAAGAAAAAGCGATTAGGAACCTTCATCGACTGGCCTCATGAATGGCTGAAACCGTCAGAATTGGCGGCCGACGGATTTTATTATCTCAGGAAAGATGATCACTGTGCGTGTATCTTCTGCAGAGGGATAGTTGGAACTGGGAAAAAACTGGCACGCCAAGAGGAGAACATCAACGCCATTTTCCCCAATGTCCCTTTATTAGGGGTCAGCCAACTGGAAATGTTCCCATTGTTCAAGGCAATATCTTAGCCAGGTTACCGGTACTACATCCGAGTCTGGACGATTGCGGATCAAGACGTGTTGAGGCCGACGCTTGCAGATTTCGTCAAGACATATGGCCGGATCGTATCCCGAATGCAGTGAGTAGTTTGGTATCTTTTATCGCTGATTAGTATTTATGAACACTGTATATAACTCTTACCCGTGAGCTCAATCCAGATTTATTCCCTGCTATCGCTTCGTCTCACAGGAGGATCTCCGGATGAAACTGGTCTCTACCAGCATTCTAGACCGAAACGAAGTGATTTCACGACACTAGATAGCCGATTGAAGAGCTATGTCGAAGGATGGCCCATCCTCGGTCTGCATGCACAAGATCTTGCCGAAGCTGGATTTTTCTACTGTGGTACAACGTTTTTATATATATATATGTATATATATGCGTTTACGTGTATCGGTAATAGTAGATTCATTACAGGTGTTAAATATTGATAACAGCATCAGCTTATTAAGATCTCTGGAATTGATTGCGTTTTCTCTATCAAAAGAAGCATTAAATACTTTTGCAAAAGAAACACAGTTACCGTTATTATATACATAGGTCTGAGTGATCATGTTCGCTGTTTCCACTGCGGTAAGGGTCTTCGCAATTGGATATCTAGCGACATACCTTGGAAGGAACACGCTAGATGGTATCCTAAATGCAGATTTGTCTTATTGAAGAAAAGGCCAGGACTATATCAATGAAGTATGTATACGCCTCTTAATTGTATCTTATTTTGCTGGATATTTTTATTAATTGTTGTTTTATTATCGTTATTATTAGATTACTATTACTATGATGTTAACACTGTTATAATTTCTTTTAGGTCCAGCGAGAATATTCACCGTACACCCGCACAGCGAGTACTGTATATTCGGGTATCGATAAGGCTGCTTCCGGTAGCAGTAATAATCCAACGGAGGTGCAATCCGTATCCGAACAAGAATTGGATCTGTTGATGAGTTTGGATGTCGTCAAGTGTGTACTGGAAATGGGATATCCTAGTTGTATAGTCAGGGCCTGCCTTAAAGATCGGGTTGAACAAACCGGCGAACCGTATTTCGTTATAGAGCCTTGCCTTGAAGATGTTATACAGAGAATGAGCGTAACAGAGAATCGGGTCGCAGATAATCGTTCTGAGAGTACAGAGCGTGAGCCGTCATATGGTGAGGCCGATATTTCATCTTCGATATTTCAACAACAAGCACCGATATTCCCATCTACGTCTAAAAACCATGGGGAATCGGGTTGCAAATATTCAACCGCTTCCATTCGAATCTACCGAGGTTGAACCATTATCTCAACAGCAACAGGCTTCTATATTTCCATCTACATCCGAAATAATACGACAGCAGGCTTCTATATTCCCTATTGCACCTCTGACTACAACGTTATCATCATCATTTGAACGAGAGAAAATACCGAAACTGAAGCAAACCATATTTTGCAAATAGTAGAAGAAATCATATCACAGACTAGTGAAGAAGAGAAGGAGGGATATGAAGAAAAGGAGGGATATGAGGAAAAAGAAGAATTCAAGTCAAGACAATCTTGTAAGTATAATCTATATTATGATTGATTATTTAATTTTACTATTAGATGAATACATTGTTACTATTATTATTTTATTGTTGTTATTGTTAGTTATTATCATTCTTATTATTATCGAAAATTAACACGTGTATTTATCATCTTTCCATTTAGACGAACAGATGAAAGAAGAACTCGAACGGATGCGTGAAGATCGCACATGTAAATGTGCAT